TCTTCTTCTTCTCCGTCTTCTTCTTCTCAGTATTTTTTAGCCGGATAAATAGGTTTTATTTTCAACATTGAATTCGAGGATTGAATAAATCAAGCCACTATGAAAGCACATGGTGTTTCAGTCTAGTTTTTTTAACCAGAAGTGCGCTAATGATTAAAAAGCTAGTGGCAAAATCTGGCCTGTTTCTTTGAAGTACTACGGTATATAAATAAACGATTTATTCATTGGGGTTCTAGGGCATTCTAGATTTTTTATTCGCCCTTGTTAACTATAATGTATGTTTTCATTAGCTCACACTGCTCAACCGGTACTTAGGTTTTCGACCAATGAATGAAGGTGTTCTATAAAAGCCTACGCAAACACTACATAGTGTGCTGAATCTCCCTAGTAACAAAAAAACAAATGCTTTATATTGATTTCGATGTAACACAACAATAGAACAAATGAAACGATAAAGTAGACCAATCACACCTCGACAAGGAACCTGTATAGAAGAACACAAAATAAGAAACTTCATTACACAATAAGGAATACGCCTTCGTGGTTACCCACCATCGATGTAAATTAACGAAACGTTATGTCTCTGTAAATGTTAAAAATTTCGTTGAATTCAAAAGAGACGACAAGACGAACAACTACAAATTCTGAACATACATAAAATCCGCATAATAGGCTTACAAGGTAAATTTGTCACCGCTTTACGTATATACGTTTTTTTTTWAATATATATAAGTAAAGTTAGGTACTGAAGTACATGTTAAACATTTTATCCATTATGCAATATTTTATTTATTGTTTAGCTTCATGCTTGGATCTCTTAACCAAGGTATCTACGAGAAAACATTTAGGCAGCTGCTAACAGCAAACCGACAGAAAAAGGAAACTATACGCATTAAATTATCAGCCCATTCTGTATTGGCAAAGACATGAACACAACACAGAATTGCCGGGTGTTTTGAACCAAATATTGAATGATATTCATTAAAAAGGAGGATTTTTGTATTTTGGAACGTTTACACGCAATTCGAATAGTGAAGTAAATATAGCGACGTCGTTTAACAGCTTTTTATAACTGAACACCATGTCTTACCCGGGAACGAGTGATAATCCACAAGACAAAATATACATTAATGTTGGAGGGAAACGTCATGAATCTTATTTGTCCACACTACAAAATATTCCTGACACACGCTTGGCCTGGATGGCAGAGACCATTATGAATAAACAAGGAGAAGAATCAACAACGAAGGAACTCTTCTTCGACAGGCATCCCGACTTATTTGCATTGATACTAAATTATTATAGAACTGGAAAACTACATGCTCCAAGGCATGTTTGTGGACCACTCTTTGAGGATGAGCTAAATTTTTGGGGAATAGAAGAAAAGGAGATGGAAGCTTGTTGCTGGCCGACCTATATACAGCATCGTGAAGCAGAAAAGAATTTAAAAGAATTTGTAGGACCGGAGTTTGAAGATGAAGAATCTGAAGAAGATAATAAAGAACTTGAAAACGGCTATGGGAGCGATGCAAACTCCCTTTCTTTATGGCAGAGATACCAACCACCCATATGGGCTGTATTAGATGATGCCTTTTCCTCATCTAAAGCTAAGGTAAGACATCTTAATGTATTGTCATTTTTTAACCTTCGTTTGTGTTTCAATGTTTCAAATTTGCTTACACAATTTCAAACAGTTCAAAGATTTCTTTCACAAGGTGGAAAGTTATCCGTTTATAGCGAGTTTTGAAGTTGGTGTAAGTATTAAGATAGATGGTTGGAAATTATAAATTGTCAGCTTCAGACGAATTGCTTGGTATCGAAATGATTTTACCTTCAGCAAGACACTTCGTATTTGAATATTTTCCTATAAACTTTAATTTTTTCTCATAAATGTTTAAGCAGTTCAGATTATTTACAGTCTGCTAACTTGAATATTTTTTTTTTTCACGATAACTCTTGAAAACCATTACCATTGTCACTGTCAACTACTTTAATAAAAATAATTACGTAAGGGAAAGATAATAAGTCAAAATAATACTAATAATTCTTCATAAAAACTAATGAGTAGGAAAAGAAAAAAAAAACATGTCATGGCATTAATGTATTGCTTGTCAAAAGGATTATTAGATTTTGAAAATTGTAATTTCGCATACACATCTAACCACAAACAAGGCTACTTACTGTTACGAGGATTCTTTAATAACACGTCACGAGATTCTATTCGATGTTCAGTCGACAAAATGTGCTATCAACTAGATTGAAAATATTGTTTTGCTTTACACGTCTGCAGGTGACAATAGACCTGATATAGTCAGGTTAATAAATATTCATAAAAAAGATAATRAAGAGATAAATAAAGTGATATCGTCAGTTTTAGACCCTATTACAATATGTCAAGTGAACGAAAAACGCCTTCTACCTTATGAATAGCACAGGTTTAAACAAAATAAAGGTGTAAGACATATCAGTCGATTCTAGGATAGCTACTGCGCATGACACTAGCTAACACTCCTTTCGATATCACACCACATAAGCTATGGTCGAGTTTGGTCAAAACAGTAGATATCTTCAATTAAGTGTTCAGCAATCAACCCTATTATTGATCAAAGCAAAGTTTAAACGATGACGTGACCTAAACTCAGGTCACTTTGTAAAGGAAACTTCTAAAAAGGTATTTTTGAAGTTGTTTCCTTGACTCAATGCACATATAGATGTTATTTACTGGCCAGGAGGTCCATTTAGGGGAAAACTGTAGCCGAGCTTTTATATATATGGGCCGAGGCCGTTGATGAAGATCCTTTTTTCATGCTGAGGGTAAAAGTTTCTCTTTATCTGGATGGCTTTATGACGGTGCCCTACTTATGTTGTTTGCCAACTTTAGTGACTTTTTAACTTATTTTTAAAAATCATCATGTTGTAATTGTTGTTTAGCAATGCGCTCTCCGGAATGTAGTCAGAGATAAAAAAACTGCCAGCTCTCGCATTGAGTCAGATACCGGAGAGGGGAAAAAATATTAGCCGTCTTAATAACGTTAAAGTAAAGCAACCTAGTAAGGTTAGTTTATCTGCTCAAGTCCCCTTAAAGGCAATTGTGTTCGTAATCCATCACGAGCATCGGCGCGCTTTCTGTTTGGCTGTCTCACAACTGTCAGTTTCCGAGGTAAACAGACATTTCGTTCTTTCCTGTTACGTCACCTCAGTAGAGGATCTCAATATAACGCGGGAATGTCATTTTAATTTAACGGTGTGACAGCTGCAGGGTTGAATTATTCCTGCTTGACTTTCTATTGGAAATTTTATGATGACCACTTCACAAGAATCTTATTCATTTTTGTTTCTTTTAGCTCCTCTTTTTTATTGATACTAACAGAAGAACAGATAGTAAAAGGGTTAACCAGTGATTGATTCGGTCTGAAAATCTATCTGATATCTTGCTAAATTAAAACACACCGCATGCAAAAGACGACGTTTTAAAAAATATTTTAACTCTATAATCGGTACATGGTCAATTTAATAAACGTTGTCGTCGACCGGCTCACTAGCCTATATGACTGGACCGAAAGGAAATTTTGGTAGAGATCGATAAAGCGGTTGAACTCCCGTATCTGATTAGATATGCCCTGGGTTTTACAGAACGAATCTTTGTCTGCGATCGGCCAGTGCTGAAGGAGATGGTATTTTAATCCCTTAATATTTTCAAAATCTGGAGCTTCTTTTAACTACATATAAATCATAACGACGTTTGTTTTCCCCCCGCAAAATTAAATAACGTTTGAGGGGTTGCTGCTCGTCTTATTGTCAGTGCAAGCAACTAATTCAGAGCGAATGATGAACCACTTCAGTGATTTTCACCCTTACTTCCTTTCAGTCAAGTCGCTCGAGCCGATCGACGACAACTTTTTTTTGAATTTTGGTGATTGTGATAGGGTGGAGAGATGTTAAGTGTTCAGCAAATGACGTTACAGTCTAAAAAATTGTAAAAATATAATACTTCCTATCGGAATATAAAGCAAAAAACCAGTGATAACTAAATCCTTAAAGATCATTCCAGTGAAGTTTTAGCCTACTTAATCTTCGGATGATTTTCGTTTAACAATATTTGTAAAATGAAAAATCTAAGTCCAGTCATTTTGGCGTTAAAGTTGTGAGGTTCATATCAAGAAATATATGGAGTCCGACGAGTCCGACTGCGCGGCCATTGTGTTTGCAGAGTAAAATTATTCAAATTTTGTTCTTTGCCAATCAAGAAATTATCGATGATTAGGATTTGAATAAGTATATTCATGTACTTTAAACTAATATAAATTTAGGCACTGCCTAAAAGTGGAGCTCCCAATAGACACAGGGTGCCCAATTTAGATAAAACTGAAAGTTGAAAATAAAATCCGGAAAAAATCTTTAAATGATTTTCTTTTATTCGAGATGAAGATATTATGTACCAGCGGCAAATAATATAAAAAGGGAAGATAAGTGAGTGAATCTGAATCGTATTTTTGCCGCAATCAGAAAATAGATTTAACTACAAATTTAGGCTTAACTATGTTCTGTTCTCTGAAACAACACGAGTGGGGCAGTAGAGCACGATAAAAAGTTATAGAATTCAATATAGAAAATATAGAAATAATATAGATTTTCACGAGAAAAATAGAGTAAAATTACAAAAAGAGCGCGCATCTGTTGTCAAACTCGCGCAAACAAATTTGATCTATATGCGATGATTGGCTAAAAAATGCGACATAGGACTAATGATAATAATAATAATAATGATGATGATGATGATGATGATGATGATGATAATAAATATCGGTGAGATTGAAAATCGAGACGAATTAAAAACAGAGAAATATGTTTACTTAAGAGCAAGCTTAAAGAGACTATACCCTAGATATAGTGTTCAACAAATTAATGTAGTCTTTGATTTTCTCGCGAAGTATCACAGAAATCTGATTGATAAATTGAATAGTGTAGGGCTGATGGAAAGTTTGAATGTAATCAGAAAATGTCAAAAGAAGATAATCTCTCAAAACTGTGAGGCAGTGAAAGCTTTGCATAGCTTTAATGAACATACATCTGATCTGACATTGACTTCGGATATAACTGGGGAATTGCTTAGATATATAATGTATCCGCAATTTCACTAAGAGCAATACTTGTAAAACGAGCTRAAGTTAAAATAAACAAAATAATAATAACAATAATAATARTAATAATAATAATAATAAATTTTTAATAAATTTTAATCTAAATATATACGACGTATAGATTATCTCTTCATATATCTTTTCATTATAATAATAATAATAAYAATAATAATAATAATAACTGATAAACTTGTGGCCCTCGAAGCTAATAAATAACACTCTCTTAAATAAAATGCAGTCTAGATATCTTTGCTTCTTCATAAAAAGGTATTCAATTCAGCTTATTTAAAATAGAACCTAACTAACTGACTATCTGATTGGTCCAGTTTTGACAGGTAGTGACAACTCTGTTCAGCCTGGCATACGAATGGTGATAACAAATGGTGATAACCAATCAAATGTGCTTCAAAACGACATATTTTCTTTTTTTGAAGGAACGACTTAATGTTTAATAAAAATGAATAAAAATTTAAAATTTAAAATGTCAAAATTCTTTAATTTGAAACGGAATTCCTGTGACGTCATTTCTATGCTTTATTTCGTATAGAAAAAATTGTTTTGTTTTCATATCTATGTTTCTGATAAAAGCTTTTCTGATAAAAGCTTTTCAGCCAATAAGAGCGCGCGTTCGTGAAAATCTAAAAAATGATGAGAGAAAATTAGCTGGAAATTATTAATAAACTCACTAAACTAGTCAAATTTTCGAGGCCCTGAACGACAAAAACAAATTTGTCAGTTAAAAAATAATTCTGTCAGTTAAAATAATAACTATTCTGAATGTTCCTGATTAGAATATTGTTTATTTCTTTCATATAAGCCTTAACTATTCGAATCAGTCTTCGAGAAGCTTAAAAACTAAGCTTACCTTAGCTTTGATTGACTCCGACGAAGGACTAACGTCCGAAACGTCAGTCTACTATCTTTCGTACCTACGGTGATAAAATTACTACGACACATTTGATTTACCTTAGCTTACCTATAAGCTTGCTTCTCGATACATCTTTGATTACATAAAAATATTTTTTCTCTCTTGTTGGGCTTTATTTTTTCCAAAGCGATGTTTTCTATGCATTTACGAGTTGTGTCAGTGCGAGTAGACAAGCGGGATCCTTGTGGTGCGCACACGGACGGACGTACGGACGGAAGTGACGTAATGAAGCCATGACAAATTAACTCGATGGTTTATCAATTTTTCTTAAGTATGGAGCTCCGCTACTAAGCATTAAGAAGGCAGCTTCAAATAAAACCCAATATTTATATATATATTTTTTATCATGTTTTCAGGTGTTTGCCTGGGTATCACTACTTATGATCCTGATATCTGTTTTACTAATGTGTGCAGCCAGTCTTCCCTCCATACGAGAACATGAATCAACCAGACAAGTGTTTAAAGAAGTGGAATACTTTTTTTGTGCTTGGTTTACACTTGAATTTCTAATACGATTAATATTTTGTCCAAGCAAAGTTGCATTTTTCAAGCAAATAATGACATGGATTGATTTGATCTCACTCATGCCATACTATAGTAAAATAATTTTCAATACCAACAAAGTTGATTTTTTCAGAGCAATTCGGCTCATTCGGCTTTTCAGAGCTTTTCGTTTCTTCAAGTTTACAAGTGGTCTACAAATAATCGTTCAGTCATTAAAAGCAAGTGTCAGGGAGCTTCTGTTGTTGGTTATCATTTTATTGATTCCTGTGGTCCTCTTCTCGAGTTTCGTATATGAAATGGAAAAGGAAATGCAACCAGTTAAGTTCAATAGCATTCCACAAACCTTCTGGTGGGCGGTTATTACAATGACAACCGTTGGATATGGCGACATGTCGCCAAAGTCTGTCGTTGGACAAATTATTGGTAGTGTTTGCGCAATCTGTGGAGTTCTTATTATTGGTCTCCCTGTGTCTGTCATTGGAAATAACTTTTCAACCTATTATGAGCACGCTCAGGCGAGATTAAGTTTGCCAAAGAAAAAACGGAGGCTAATCATGGGAGATGCAAATCGCTTAGCAATATTGCAGGGGCAATCCAATTCAAGTGGAGAGCGAGACCGCAAATCAATTAGTGTTGACCTGCATACTAATGATAGTAATAGTGAAGAAGATATGTCTAGAAATTATCGACGTTACCACAAAAGATCTAGGAATACGATCTTTGCCCGAGGAGATGTTTATATTGGACAAATCAAGACAAAACATTCAGATCTCTCTCCACCAATGGAAAGAAATGCGGAGGAGAATAATGACGGGAATGGTGAAGTATATCACATGGAGAGAGGAGAACTGAAAGGAGATACTATCGATTGTAAGAATCCATGTTTTATTCTAACGAACAATATACATGAAAGTGAAGAAATGGTAGAAGAACATCAAAATAGTCATCCGAAAAATATTCCTGAAAATAAAAGTAAAAGAGAGGGTCCTGTAACAAAATCCATATCATTAGTTGAATTGAAAAATATCAATAGTTCTAATCCGTTATTGTCTTCTGGCACTCCAAGACCAAGTAGCACTCGCTCTTTTCGGTCTCGTGTTTCACCGAGTCCCGCCGGAGAAACTGATAAAAATATTGGCCAACAACCTCGTAAGGTGAGGTGTAACAATTCTTTAACATTACCACCATTGACATTAACACTTTCTAAAACTCCGGAATGTGATTCAAAAGGCAATGTATACCAAAATGGGACCGAACAGGCTCCGAGCCAAAACACTCCAGCGCATAAAAGTGACAATAGCGTTTACATTGAGGAAAAACATAAAAGAACACGAATGCATCAAAATGGRAATGTTTCTTATGGATGATCAAAAGATATCTAAAACTTTTAAGTTTTTATCCATTTAAGCTTTTTCAAGGAAGAGTATTAAATACCCTAGCTGCCTGTATTATTTATTCCAGTCTGGCCTTTAATAGTCTGCGTAGCGACCCAAAAGGGATGGGAAAGGGATATTGGGTGGGGGCCAATTCCCTCTTGTCCCTTTTTCCACAGCCTTCCCCACCAGACTCCCACTTCCCTTATCTCTTTTGGACCGCTACGCAGATTACTCCATCTCTACGATGCAAACTATGTTGGCTTTACGTGAAGTCATCATCGTAGGAAGAACACAAGACATTGGAGATTTGCATTGACCTACGTACAGAGCATGGTTGTGACACTAACAGACTTTACTATACTTAAGCGCTGCGAAACAAATCTTGATTGTCATATGTATGAGTTGCCTATTCATAACGTTTCAAAGACCATTACTTAACATCCAATTTGACACTGTTATTATTGCCTTCAGCGGAAACTTCATGATACTGTTGAGAATGACGAGACATGAAGTTGTCAAAACGTCATAAGTAGCGTGCGTCCATCGAGTTATGGATGCACGCGGGAGGTTGATAAGCACGAATAAAAGCGTAAGAGTTGCACGACGCGAAGCGGAGTGCATCTCTAGTTTTTTTGAGTTTTATACACACACACACACACACACACACACAC